CCCCCCCCTCCCGCTGCAAACCAAACAGCCTCATCCTCGCATCTTTAAAAGGGGAACCTAAAGTGGGTTTTCGGCGACTGCACACAAATATCTGCCCGATTTCATGTGACTTCCTGAATGTTACTGTTTTGCTGTTTCCTATTTACTATAGATTGTAGAATGCCCATGTTAATCAAACGAGCCTGACTTGTCTAATGGCTGCCGAGATGTGCCGCCTTCTTCCCTCCTGGCCAGACCTGGACCATAGACATGGACTGACAGAGAAGAACGGCCGCTTTGTAGTGCTGCAAAGTAAGACCCGGATACTGTATTTGGAATAGGCACGTAGGCCGCCGCGCTGGACACGCACACATGCAAATTGCACATGGGTGTCAGGAAGCCAGAACCAGCCTGTGCTGGCTGAAGGTCCGCGGGCACAGTTTGGCTAATAGAAATGTGCACTGCCACCAGAGGCATCCCGAGGCGGGGTGACACCCGGTGCGGGTACCGTTTGACACCCCACAGTATTGAAGAAATAGGTCACCAGCACTCCATAAGTTAAAATGAATGAGTCCTTTTAATGGACAATGATGTCACAGAAATCCAACATGAGCCGACGTTTCGGGGCCACACAGGGTCCCTTCTTCAAGGCAAGAGATGTGACATTAAAAGGACTCATTCATTTTAACTTATGGAGTGCTGGTGACCTATTTCTTCAATCTTGTGTTTTGCACGGTGCCATCCGTGAAGTTACTTCGAGCACCATTTATTTGATTGTTGGCCGGGACTGCTGAAAGGTGTGCGGAGGGCATTTCCATCAATGACACCCCACAGTGACATCATCGCGCATGCGCGTGATGACATCACGCGCAGTACCGCTGTTACCTGCCGGCGGCCATCTTGGTGATGGACATCCGGCGGCCATCTTGGTGATGGATGCCAGCAGAGAGAGGAGGGGACATCACCCGGCGGGATGAGGTATACCGCCGTGTCCCCTCCTCTCTCGAGCAACTGTCGGGCTCTCGGGCCTTGACCGAGTGCCCGACTTTTCAGAGGGGGGTGACACCAAAATGACTGTCAGTCATTTTGGCGTCACCCCTCCAATGGTGTCACCCACTTTGTGACGCCACTGACTGCCACATGCCTCTGTGCAGGTCTGCGCGTGTCCGTTCACGCGCTTCCCAGCGTGCTCGCAGGCGTGTGCACGCGCTCGCTACGAGCGGTGGCGCCAGATGGGCTATTTAAAGCTGACGTCCTAGCCTTCATGCTGAGTGATCGACAGCCTTCTGTGTCCCTCGATCCTGTGTCCTGATCGTCCATCTGATTCTGACCCGGCTTGTTTGACCTTGCATCCGCTACTCCGTATTCCGGTGACCTTGGCCGGTTCCTCCACTACCGCTTCTGCCTGCTGTATTGTAACTTGCTGCCCGCGCGTTACCGCCCCCCAGCTTGTTCCTGACTACGTTCCGGTCTGTCGCTTGGTACCGCTCTGCCTGCCTGTTGATGACCCGGCTAGTCTGGCTACGGCTCTTTTGGAGCTCTGCCTCCATGTGCGTTCCACACCCGTGCCTGCTTCCTGCTCAGGACTCATTGGCAATGCAGAGTAGACTTGTACGCCGTCAAAAATTTTGTTCCGTTTCGTTCCGGAATATCCGTTATTTCGTATTTCGTAATTCGTGTCCGAAACTCAATTCGGATTCGTACAAAATACGGATTTTCATTCGTTTCGGCACATTTTCGTAACTGATGATGAAGTTAAAAAGCAAAAATACCTTTGTTAATATTGGAGTCGATGTGGTAGTTGTTTTTTTATCCGTTAACGGATTCCGGATCCGAATTTCGTATTTTCGGATAAAAAAAAAAACTACCATCAACTCCAATATATTAACAAAGGTATTTTTGCTTTTTAACTTCAATATAACGAATGTTCGTAACGGAATTTCGTATTTCCTGCCTGTGTATTGTAATGCAACTCTCAGCAGCAGCGGATCCGTATTTCGTATTAAAAAAAAATATTGTCATGTTGTTCAACCTCTAATATTACAGGGGTAATATTAGTTCCTGTTTCAAAGAAATTCGGATCCGAAATTCGTTAACGGAATTTCGGATTTCGGATACAATTCGGAAACTGCCATTCGGATTTCGGATGCTTCCGAATTTACGAATTTCAGGAAAATTCGTACGAATTTCGATTCGTAACGAAACAAATCGCACATGTCTAATGCAAAGACTGACCCTTCCTGCCACGGTGATGTCTTCCGGCACTTGTGCCACTCCGTGTACCTGCCATCCAGGGGCTCTGTGACCTGAGCTGCAAAACTCAGACTCCACCAGGTAGGTGACAACAGGGTTTTAAAACAGTCAAACTCCGGGCAAAAATGTCACATCACCCAGCAGATGCTTAAAATGAAAAAATCAGCTCAGATTGCAATATTCAATTCCACTCGGGAGGTGTCCACCGGCAGTTTTGCGCCACAAGGTGTCCTCAGGCTTCCCGGTTGAATGGTGCCCAGTAGACATGTAAGCTGCGAAAAAATTCAGTTCGGGTTTCGGATTCGGACGAAATCCGAATTTTTGTTAGTTTCGGATGAAGTTGAATTTGTATGTAAGTTGGAACAGGTACATTTTTTTTCTTGTTTTGGATAGCATAGGAAGGGTTAACCCCCTGAAACATTTGTTTTGCTGTCTGTGCCCCTGTTCAGAAAATCTCACCTCACCCAACAAGGATTGGTGATAAATCTTCAGTGGAGACACCTTTTTCCATGATAACTCTTACAGGAGTGACTTTCCCTTCCCAGGGGTAGGTTTCCTCTCACTTCCTGTTGTCTCATGTACAGGAAGTGAGATTAAATCTTTCCATTGAGGATACAGACAGCAGTAAAAACCTCACAGTGACCCGGAAGAAGAGGCGGGCACACCCTCGTCTGCATGTCCAACAAGAGCCAACTTCCTGCAATGTACGTACAGTACTACAAACCAGACCCAAAAAGGCGAGCACTCCTCGTCGGCATAAGCGCTGTACCATTACAACTACCCCTGCTGTACAGTAATAGCTCCCGAGCCTCCGTTTGTAAGTAGAAGTCGTATGTAAGTCGGATGTATGTACCTCGGGGACTGCCTGTACAGATATTGATACTAAAGCTGAGGCTTCCAGACCCCAATGGCATTCGGAAGCTCCTGAATGCAATTCGGAATTTCGGATTCCAAATGCCATTCGGGTCTGGGGGCCATATACATTTATATACATATATTAATACAGCTGAGGCTCCCAGACACGAATGGCATTTGGAATCCAAATTTCCGAAATTGCATTCAGGAGCTCCCGAATGCCATTGGGGTCTGGGAGCCTCAGCTTTAGTATTATATGTATATGGCTCCCATGTTGCCGTAACGAAAATCCATATTCAGACCCATTCAGATGCATTAAACCGAAAAACACATCTGATTGGCCAGAAAAGTCCCATTCAGTTTAGTTTTTGAACGAATTTCGGACGGGATGCGTAATTCGGAAACGGTCATTCGGTTTCGGACACATTCGGATGCATTGGGATTGTGGAGGTGTCCGAATGTCCGAATTTCGGAAAATTCGTACGAATTTGATTTCGGAACTAAACGAATCGCACATGTCTACTGCCCAGTGTCATTCAAACCAAAAGACGGGGGAGATAATGGGAGTGTAGGGCGTCATTGACCCTCCACACGGTGAGGTGTCACCACAGAGACCTTCACTCACAGTTTAATGATGTAGAGGGAGGCATTGGCATCAGTACTTCAGCACCACTCTTTGCATCATCCATGGTTGCCCAGTGCCGGTGACATGGGCTCTGCACGTCATGTGACCAGCCTAAAGACATCTAGACAAGGTAAGTATACAACAAAATAAAAGCATAACACCGTGCATGTGGAAAGTGGGGGCTTGACCGGGAGTTGGGTTTTAAAGCTGAACTGGTAATCCTTTCATAAAAGGTCCTTGGTCATGTACTTCTTGTTATAGGGTGACAACGTGCTGGACTTGTCTCCCAACTGTGTTATGGTGTTTTCGATGGACATGTGAACTCGATGGACATGTATCTTTTTTTCAACCTGACTAACTATGTAACTATGTTGTCACCCTGTCACATGGGTTTCAAATGGGGACTACAAGTAGCTGTTTCAACACACTTTGCTCAGGCAATGTCCACTGTTGTCACCATTAGGAAAACCACCCTAAGAAATGTTGTGCAGCCATCAACAGGGTGCATGTGGTCATGAGATGGCTGCAAATAGGCTGCAGGGTATCGGCTTCACTGGGATGTAACAAAAAATTAAGAAAAGTGGAAACCATGTTTTATTTGTTTATGATATGCAGTGTTTTAGTAAGCTGAATGTCCTTCAAGGTCTACATGTACTTTAACTGCATAGAGCATAGGGACAGTATGGCCCACAGCTGCAGCACCTGGGTGAAATTGCATGATGTGGAGGGGACTTGGCACAACAGGAGGATTCTGGCTGTCCACAGCTGAGCTGGACCAGGGCACTGCGGTGTGCCAGGACAGTCTTTCTTCTGCTTCCATTGCTTGGCCCATCTCACAGCTCTCACAACATTTTATTATCTACAGCAGGGGAAGGCAAACTCTGGCCCTCCAGCTGTGGTGAAACTACAAATTCCATCATGAGATTTGTAGTTGCACCACAGTTGGAGGGCCAGAGTTTCCTTACCCCAGATGCCTACTGACCAAGCCCAGAGGACTACTTAGTCATCTTTGAGTCACACCCACTGACTGACATTGGCCATTCAGTCACCTTAGGTCTATGGCCATTTTGACTCAGACATCACCCACCAAAGACAAAATGAAATGTAGGTGGACTTGGCTATAAAGCATTATGAAATTAAAGAGAAAGCAATGCCTGGCCCAACATAGTAAAATGGATAGACAGGCTCGAGGAAGTTCTCGGTGAATGTGTAGAGGCGCCTGTAAGTGTCCACATCATAAAATGTCACCTTCCCTTTGTCGTATTCCAGATAAACCCCGACTTTCTGTATTCGCCCAGATTCAAACACAATGGGCTCCGGTGGTGTAGACAGTGCATAGTATCCTTCTGTCGTTCCTCTAATGGCCCATATCAAAGCGTCTGGACCCTCTCTTTGACCTCCAGTCCTCCTCACCGACCTGCCAGCTATCCCAAGAGACCAGAACTCTCCGCTCCTCTCCAAAACCTCCGTCTCCCAGTAGTGAGTGCCCGACTGGAAGGCAGAATGACCAAGGACACAAGGCTCAGTGTCAAACCTCTCCGGGTTTTGAAGGACATCTTGGACCACATCTGTGGTTGTGATATTGCGACTGTCCGGAGACACCACAAGGCCGCCATAAGCAGTAGAAGAATCAAACAAAATGGATTCTGAAAGAAAAATATGATTGTAAAATGTGTTGAATATTGCTGCCATCGTAGGACATTCAGGGTCATTAAGTACATTTGCCAAAACACGGTACAACCTGATGGTCCATTCCAAATTCTGACTTCATCTAACAAAGTGGAGTTCTCTTCTCAGGTTGAATGAATAGGTGGTGACTGGTCATGTCGTAAAGCTACATTTTTGATATTTTTGGTGTTTTGAAATGTGCGATGTGCTCATTTTTCTATCTGACAATTCTGATCAAACCTAAAACATTCTGCAAGGGGAAAGTAGAAAGTTGCAAAAACGAAGTCCAATGTTATTAGTGCACTCCTGGCGTGGGTGGCGGTGGTGGTGTGTCAACAAAGGTGTGCGGCTCCTATATGTCCTAGACCGAGGTGTCTAAGACAACAAGGTGGAAGACAGTGGTGGTGTTTGGCACTCTGATGGGATTGGTGTGGGCTCAGTGATGGGACACTCCTGGTGTTGTTGTCCTAGGGTCTGGCAGTTGATGTGGAAGGATGTCACAAGGGCAGATGAGCTGTGTGAATCCTTGTTGTCCTAGGGTCTGGCCGTTGAGGTGGAAGGATGTTACAAGGGCAGATGAGCTGTGTGAATCCTTAAAAGACATCCCGTTTAGGATTTCTTTCGAGGATTCACACAGCTCATCTGCCCTTGTGACGTCCTTCCACCTCAACGGCCAGACCCCAGGACAACAACACAAGGAATGTCCCATCACTGAGCCCACACCAATCCCATCATAAGTGAGTGCCAAACACCACCACTGTCTTCCTCCTTGTTGTCATTCCCCTTTTTCCCTGTCCACACATTTCTGCATGGGCAAAGAGCAGGTTTTGCTTTGAAGGCCAACTCCATGTTTAAGCCAACCAGCACCTTCCCTTTTCTGATTTGGGTCACTTGAGACACTTGGGCCACTGTGAGCCCAGGCTGTAATGGACACATGCCGGAGAGTGAGTCATCATGTCAGCCTGGACTGACACTGCAAGGCTTCAGAGACCAACGCTGACGTGATAACAAGCGTGGCATTTTATTCAGCATTGATGACCTCCCATTGGCAGACCTGAAGCAAAAAGACCATCACGTGGTCACAAGCATGATCATGACCAGCATGGTCATGATCGGCCACAAGACAGCTGCATTTAAGGAATGTATAGAGGAAATTAAGAGTGTTGGGGTGTTGGTTGGATGTGGGGGGTTACAAAAGTGCAGTTGGGTTTTATTGTGGCCCAACCAGCAGCACATATTCATCTTCCCTTTGCTCCCACCCCACTCTACATGGGCCAGAAGCAAAGAATGATTACCAGTGAGTATTTGATATGGGCACATCAGACAGGGAGAGAGTCCTGTGTAGGCTTTAAGTTGTGATGTGGAGCTTTCAACCAGCCTTCAACAGGGATGTCCTTGAACTGGAGAGAGTCCACCGGAGGGCAACAAAACTAATTAGGGGAATGGAGGACCAGAGCTATGAGACAAGGCTTCTGACCTTAAACATGTTTACGCTGGAATTAAGGAGATTAAGGGGGGATATGATTTTCATGTACAAGGTGTTCAATGGTGACAGCAATATTGGCAACAAACTGTTTGAGATCAACTCCATTACAAAGACTAGAGGCCACCACCTAAAGTTGGTGGAGAAAAAATTCCAGCACAATGGGCGAAGAGGCTTCTTTACAGTAAGAGCGGTTAAGGTCTGGAACTCACTGCCATCGGCAGTGATTTCAGCCAGAGTGTAGATTTGTTCAAGAAACGTTTGGACAATTTCTTGATGGACCGTAATATCCAGGGATACCAGTATCCCTAAAAATGAGATGATGCGTGGACCTATATGGGTTGGACTTGATGGACGTATGTCTTTATTCAACCCCAACCACTATGTAACTATGTAACAAAAAAATAAAAGATCAATGCAACCCATCACCAACATTATAGATCATTTAATGGTGTTGACCGCAACCGATGGTGGTGGGCCACATTCATTAATTTGGTTATTTTTGGGGCTGGTTTGTAAGTGATTGAAATTTCCTAAAATATGCAATTCAGTTGGTTAGCACAAAAATAAAATGTTCACATGTCTCTAAAACAGGCAGTGGTTGTGAATATCTACTTACCCTTTATAATGGAAATCTTCCTCCATTCTAAAAACAAAAAAATTAAAAAAATTGATCAAATCAGAAATTATATTTATTATTATTATACAGGATTTATATAGCGCCAACAGTTTGCGCAGCGCTTTACAATATAAGGATGACATTACAATCACAATACAATTCAAGACAAGATGGTAAGGAGGGCCCCTTCCCCATGAGGGCTTACAGTCTAAAAGGGAGGGGCAAGTGATACATGAGGAGGAAGATGTGTGGGGATGAACTGTTTGAGAAGGTGATGGTCGAGCGGTTAGTTTGAGGTGGGATAGGCTCTTCCCTGAAGAGATGAGTCTTTAGGGATCGCCTAAAGGCAGTCAAGGTGGGAGATAGACGGACAGGTTGGGGTAAAGAGTTCAAGAGGATGGTAGAGACTCTAGCGAAGTCCTGGAGACGAGTATGGGAGGAGTTGACCAGGGCGCTGGAAAGCAGGAGGTCTTTGGAAGAGCGGAGGGGACGTTAGGGTGATACTTTGAGACACGGTTGGAGATATATGCGGGGGAAGAGTTGTGGATGGCTTTGTAAGTGGTTGTTAATATTTTGAATTTTATCCTCTGGGCGAGTGGAAGCCAGTGCAGGGATTGGCAGAGGAGGGTGGAGGATGGAAGCCAGTGGAGGGATTGGCAGAGGGGGGTGGGGGATGGAAGCCAGTGCAGGGATTGGCAGAGGGGGGATGCAGACACTGAGTGGTTGGTAAGGTGAATGAGTCTGGCAGCTGCATTCATGATAGACTGAAGGGGGGATATCCTGTGTAGTGGAAGGCCAATGAGGAAGGAGTTGCAATAGTCAAGACGAGAGATATTTCCATTGTTAGTTTTTTTGGCTGTTACAGTTTAAATATTGGTCACTAAAAATAAATCTACTGCCAATGACAAAGCTCCATTGTCAAGAGAATGAGAAGAATCCTGATAATGATGGTCACTGGGATTGTACAGCAATGTCCTTGCCCTCACCAGCCATATTCTTTCCACATTAAGGATGGTGTGGCCTGCTCGTTCGATCCTCCTATGCAGCCACCTAGTGTAGCTGTTGCTAAGAAAAGGAGGCTGGTTGCTTTTGTAGTGATAAAAATGGCGGGTGTATAAATATATAAACGTAAATATTTATATTTATGTGCGTTGTGAAAATTGGATCTTCAGGAAATATGTATGGGAGGTGGATGGGAGGGGTGACTCTCTTCCCATTGGCTGGTGGGCGGAGCTCCAGAAGACCACCGGCCGAATGGATGAGTTCTCAGCCCTGTCGCTGTCAAACTGAGAGTCTCAGTTTGACAGCGACAGGGCTGAGAGCTCATAACGTTACCTGGCTGCGAGGTAATGTGCCGGCAGGGCAAACTAGGCGGCCGCGAGGCCCTCGGGAGCGCGAGGCCTAAGGCGACCGCCTAATTTGCCTAATTAAAGAGCTGCCTCTGCCAGGCAACCTCAGTTCTTTTCCAGAGAGTAGCGTTTAATTGGATCGAAGTAACATGAACAGAAACAGTCCGACAGAGTAATAATCAAAATAAAATATCCCAGACCTTCGATTACAAAGGCTCCATAAGGACCCGCTCTATCTACCCAGCATATATCTCCAATCTATATATGCACCTATGTGCCTTTCTACATGACTCTGATCTACCCTAGCCACTTTAGGCTCTGAATTCATATACAGTTTAGTGCCAGTCACTAACGCTGAAAGGATTCTGATTGGCTGGTCTAATTACCCCTTTGATGATAGTTAACTAAACAGGTTTTGACAAAATTCCCTACAGCTGTTCCATTGTGTACAATCAACACCCTGAAAAACGGCTGGTCAGCTGGTCAAGAAACTTACACAATACAAACCTAGTTAGCATAGGTGTGTTGAACAACATTAGCCAAAAGAATTTCCTTCAATACTTGAGCATGCATCCTAAATATACCCCTAAGGCTAAAAAAAGGATTCAGAGAGCGGGGTTGGTATCCCGTAGGAGGCAAATCCTGGGAAATATGAACCAGGAAACTGGAGGGGAAGAGGAGAGGTAAAAAATGAAGGGAAGGAGGAAAGAGGTAGAAGAACGTAAGGAGAAGACTATTTAACGTCAGCAGAGAGAAGAAAGCAATGGAGGAGGGAAACCAAACAGGCGGAATGTAGGAGAAACTACACTACACAATTACAATAGTCCTATCTAATGAAACCCTCTCAGGGGGAGATGGAGTTCCCTATGTGGGGGATAGTGTCAAGCAGAGAAACCAATGGAGATACCTCCCGGGGCTATTATGAGTGAACATTACAACCAAATATATAACATTTTGGACATCAACACACTGGGACTTACCAACTTCTCTCTTCAAGGACTCTGTGAAATGAAGACAAAACATATCTCAGTTAGGCCAGCGACACATGTTACAACAAGCCATCGTTCTTATGGTCTGATTTTTTTCCTGTTATTACATGACGCTTCACACATTGTAATACTATTATAAAGACTCTGAAACTGATATTCCACTTTTGTAAAAGGTTTCACTGTCTGTGGAGTCAGAACACCTGCCTATTTCAAGGAATCCGGGGGTGAGACAAAGCCACCAGAGCTCCCGGTTCTGTCCAACCACAACGGCCATTACAGACACTCACGCCGGCATTGCTGTCTATTGCTATGTCCTCCACAACAGACAACAGAAAAATAAATGTAGCGCCCATCTGTGGGACAGAGAGACTTCTGTTGTGACCTTGTGGGAAGAAGCAGACACAGTGTAGTGTTCAAGAGATATAAGAAATAGCCCAACCCCCAAAAAACATTCAATACACTGCAAATTTTGTAGCTCAATCACGCCAGCTGTTTTGGGATGCATTGGGTTGCCCAACACAGTCCCAATGAAAGAAAA